CTCGCCCCCCCCCCCCCCAATGTTCCCTCTAAGATGTGGAGTCCTTTACCTTTACTATCACTTTCTTGTGATTTTCCAATTATTGCCCCCTGGCTTATTTAAAGGCCCCCTGAATTAAGAAATCCTGGCTACGGGCCTGCCTCACAAGGGTGTCTGTTGTGGGGGGGGGAAGGGAAAGGAGATTGTGAGCCGCTCTGAGACACCTTTGGGTTGTGAAGGGCAGGGTATAAATCCAATCTCTTCTTCTTCTTCTTTTACCTCACAGGGTGTCTGTTGTGGGGAGGGGGAGGGAAAGGAGTTTGTAAGCCGCTCTGAGACTCCTCTGGGGAGTGAAGGGCGGGGTATAAGTCCAGTCTCCTCTCTTTTTTCTTCTTCTAATGAGGTTCTCCATACCACAACATACTACAAGGCCCCTTTGTAACCTCGATAGGGAAGGCTCCTGAATCGCTAGTACAGAAAAGGAATCAGGAAGACTTATTGTACCAGAAATCGCAAGCAACCGAACATATTCAGACGGCACAAGCAAGCAAATTGTTAGCCGAAACCCACCTTTGCCCTAGAGCAGTGATGGCGAACCTTTTAGAGACCGAGTGCCCAAACTGCGACCCCAAACCCACTTATTTATCGCAAAGTGCCAACACGGCCATTTAACTTGAATACTTTAGAAAAAACGACTCACACGTTAACTTAAGATGATCCAAGCAAAGTAAGGAAAGCAATCCCAAATGCTTTCATTGACTTAAAATTATTTGGCAGAGAATTTGACACTTTAATGATGGTCTGGGCCTGGCTGGGGCGATGGCACGTGTGCCCACAGAGAGGGTTCTGAGTGCACAGAGCCAGAGGTTCGCCACCACTGCCCTAGAACAAAGAAGTATGAGTACAGAGGCACCTTTAAGACCAACAAAGTTTAAAGCTTATACCTTGAATAAAACGTTGGTCTTAAAGGGGGCCACTGGACTCAAACTTTGTTCTGTCGCTTCAGACCTACACAATCAGCTACCCACCTGAGTCTACCCCCTTTGTCCTAACACGGATGGCCCAGGCTAACCCGATCTCATCAGATCTTGGAAGCTAAGCATGGTCAGCCCTAGTCAGTACTTGGACGGGAGACCGCCAAGGAAATCCACGGTCGCTATGCAGAGGCAGGCAGAGGCAAACTGCCTCTGAACGTCTCTTGCCTTGAAAACCCTACGGGATCACTATAAAAAATTAGAATAAAAATAAATCTAGCAACCTTAGGACACCCGACAGAACGTCAAACAACAGGACAATGAGATTGCTGATAATGTTTTGCTTTGGTAGTCTGACCCTGTACGTGGAGGTTGCCTGCAATGGCCTCTTTGGAGCGGGGAAAGGCAGCATGATCGCCCCGCCGGATCCGGACAAGAGGTTCTCCTTGCAGAAGGCTGAGCTGGTGGTCTTCAACAGGGATGTCCATGAGCTTCTGGTAGACTTTGAGGTCCTTATGGATATGGCCAAGGTAAAGTCTTTTGTCCTTCAATGAATATTCTGGGGCAACTGGGCACTTGGGAAGGTCGTACCAGAACCAATGGGTTGAAATTAAATCAAAAGAGTTTTCAGCTAAACATCAGGAAGAACTTCCTGATTGTTAGAGTGGTTCCTCTAACAGGCTTCCATGGGAGGTGGTGGGCTCTCCTTCTTTGGAGTTTTTTAAGCAGAGGCTAGATGGCCATCTGACAGCAATGCTGATTGTGTGGACTTAGGCAGATCACGAGGAGGGAGGGCAGGAAGGGTTGCCTCAGTGCTCAGTTCTCGTGGCCCTTTCTTACATGCCCAGGGAAATGCTGATCGCCACTTTGGGGTCAGGAAGCAATTTTTCTCCAGGCTGGTTTGGCCAGGGATCCTGGAGGTTTCTTGTTGTCAACTGGGCGTGGAACAGGGGTCACTGTGGGGAGGTATTTGTGATTTTCCTGCATTGTGCAGGGGTTTGGACTTGGATGACCCTGGAGGTCCCTTCCAACTCGATGATTCTATGAGCTGGAAGGAACCCCAAGGGTCATCTAGTCCAACCCCCTGCACCATGCAAGAAATTCACTGCTATCTCCCCTCCTGCTCCCCCAGTGACCCTGCTCTTTGCTCAGAGGAAGGCAAAAAAGCTGGTATTTCCAAGGCAGTAGAAATACAGGAAGCATCAAGGAAGGTAATGCTTAGATGGTACTTGACACCAGCAAAACTCTCACATATAAGCACACAGGTATCTCCTCTTTGCTGGAAACTTTACGGAGTTAAGGCCAACTATTTCCATAACTGGTGGTCATGTAAACACATTTCAGAGTTCTGGGAAAAAATTATACTGCAGATTCAGACACTTACCGGTTATTTGATCCCATTAGATCCAAAATTGTTGCTTTTAAATCTCTGGCCAGTTGATAATATACCTAACACTAGAAAACAATTGATCAACATATTAATAACAGCTGCCAAGGTTACTATAGCCAAATGGGACTTTTTCATGCTTGAAACGATATCTATATATATATCTATATATATATAACTCAAATGACCAGAATGAATGCGGAATACACAATCCCTAAGGAAAATGGTTCCCCATGATAGAAAAAAATAACCTTTGAGAACTTTAATTGGGAAAGCATCAATGAAGCTAGATATAAAATAATGATGTGCAGTTGACAAGTCATACGTTTATCATTCTGTATTCCGAAAGAATGTAAGTTGTTGTATGTTAGAAATTTTATAGCATTCTTTTTTTCTCTCTAAGTGAAGCAACCTATATTTGTGTATTATAATGTTGAATTCTGTATTCCTTTTGAAAAAGAATAAAAATTGTGTTTTATTTGGGAGGGGGGGAAGCCTCCAGGATCTCCAGGCTAATTTGGCCCGGAGGAAAATTCCTTCTTGATCCCAAAGTGGCGATCGGCATTACCCTGGGCCAGGGGTCATTTAGTAGAAAAAGAGGTGCAGGAGCTCATTAGCATAACTTATTTGCATATACCACGCCCCCTGACATCACCGGAAGTGTGTCAGAAGGCAACACCCACTGCTCAGGCTCCACTGGACTGTTTCGGATTGCTAGCTATTGGGGGGGGGGAACGTGCAGATCTGCCCTCACAGAGGAGGGAGAGCTTGTGCCTGAAGGCGGGCGGGGTGGGGCTGTCTCTGCAACTTACCTGGCTGCTTCTTGTTCCTCGTGGCCCAACTGAGGGCTGCTAGGAGCAGGGGGCGAGGCTTGTTGCATGTGCCCGCCCCCTGTGCTCCTTACTGCCGGAGCTCCGCTCCTGTGCGCTCCCGCAGGAAATGACCCCTGCCCTGGGCATACAGGAAAGGACCACAAGAGCTGATCACTGGCTTATTCCTTCCTGCCCCACCCACTTCCTAAAAACTCTTGTCGGGTGCCAGAAAAGGTGTCTGGAGACACCATGTCTCGTGTGGGCACCACGTTGGGGACCCTTTGTCAGGATCCACAGCAAAACGACAAAGTACACGCTTCCAGGAAAGTTTTACTTTTATTGAAAAGCCATAGATGCAGTAACATAAACACTGTTAGGAATGGCAGGTTACCCAGAGGTCATTTCGGGGGGGGAACGCGGGGGAACACAGTTCCCCCGGGTGAGGTATGGGGGGCGGGGCACATGATGAAGCCCCGCCCCCTGCTTCCGGCCACCCCGCTTCCAGCCCTCATTCAGCCAGGAGGAGGCAGGAGAAGAAGGAGGGTAAGTTGCTTCCCCCCCGCCTCTTCCCACCCCTGCCTGCCTGGGGCCAGGGAGGGCCTTGGCGGGGCTTCCTCGCACTCCCGCCGGCCTTGCAGGTCCACCGCCGGGCCCCTGATGTCAGGGGGTGTGGCATATGCTAATGAGTTATGCTAATGAGTTCTCCTAGCTCTTTTTCTACGAAATGACCCCTGGGGTTACCTATGCGCATAATACCTATGCGCCCCCCCAGCTCTACCCAATTAGATGGACTCCCGCGCGCGGGTAATTGCTGTATTCTCTAACGGCCGCAAAGCTGGGAACGAAAGAAGCTCCCACAAAAGCTAGACACCACCAACCTCTCCAGTAACCTTGACAGATAAGCGTTACAGCTTTGAAGCAATTAAGCGCATGGGAAGGAATGCACAGCAATTAGGAACACACACCACACTCATGGCAGCTTCGGCTGACACTCTTGTTCTAAAGCTTCTTTTAGCCTCTGACTTCCTTTGGGACGATGTACTACGTGCAAGTGCCCCAGTTCTTACTAGCTGGGAACAAAGCTGCCGTTCATTCTCTTGGGATCCCGAGATGGCATGAAAGGATCACTAAGCGATATCAGTCACTTGGATTTTGTACCTGACTTCCTTTGGGACGATGTACTACGTGCAAGTGCCCCAGTTCTTACTAGCTGGGAACAAAGCTGCCGTTCATTCTCTTGGGATCCCGAGATGGCATGAAAGGATCACTAAGCGATATCAGTCACTTGGATTTTGTACTGGGGTAGCCCTGACCTGGATAGCCCAGGCTAGCCCAGTCTCATCAGATCTCGGAAGCTAAGCAGGGCCGGCCCTGGCTAGCATTTGGAAGGGCGACCTCCAAGGAATACCAGGGTCATGATGCAGAGGCAGGCAACGGCAAGCCACCTCTGAAATGTCTCTTACCTAAAAACAAGTCTAGCTCCTCACCTAGTGGTGCATAGTGCATAGAACCAGTTTGGTGTGCGGACTCTAATCTGGGAGAACCGGGGTTTGATGCCCCCACTCCTCCACTTGCACCTGCTGGATGACCTTGGGCAAGCCGTAGTTCTGGCACAGATGTCCTTGGAAAAGAGCAGTTTCTGTCAGAGCTCTCTCAGCCCCACCTGCCTCACAGGGTGTCTGTTGTGGGGAGGGGAAGGAGTTTGTAAGCTCTCCACCCTCCTCCTCCTCCTCCTCCTCCTCCTCCTCTTCTTCTTCTTCTTCCTCCTCCTCTTCTTCTTCTTCTTCTTCTCTGAGAGCTCTCTCAGCCCTACCTACCTCACAGGGTGTCTGTTGTGGGGAGGAGAAGGGAAAGGAGATTGTAAGCCGCTCTGAGACATCGTTGTGTAGTGAAGGGTGGGGTATAAATCCAATCTCTTCTTCTTCTTCTTCTAAAAGAGCTAGAACTTTTGGCTGCCAGACAATCTTAGGATCTCCTGGCTATACTACACACAATGCCATACGATAGTGATTGATGATGATGATGATGATGATGATGATGATGATGATGATGATGATGATGATGTATTTGGGCACTCAGCTCCTCGGGGAGGAAAACCAGCGGAGCCTTCAGGCGCTTTACGCAGCCAATCAGATGGTGACCCTGTGCGACGTCACCGATCCATCGACTTTCCCTTCGGCTCGTGAAGTGGCCCGTTTGGTCTTCAGTCAAAGGAATGGAGACAGCCAGCACGTCATTCACGCGATGGGCCACTGCCACATCGATTCCGGTAAGAGGAGAAACTTGGATACAGATTTCTTAATGCTGATATGTGGGAATCGGGCCCAATGGGGACTTCTCGCACAATTTGACTAAGCTGTGGGGTTGGGAGCCGTTTTGTGGACATGGCCGGTATCCTTTGGAAAGGATGTTTGTGAAGTAGAGGGAAGCATACTTGAGCTGCACGTATTGACAGAAGAGGGGGACATCTTTCTATCAGATTCACCTAAGCAGCAGATGGTAAGATTACAGTGTTCTATGAGTCTCAGTATCCTTCTATGAGGAAAGGTTAAAGCGCTTGGGGCTCTTTAGCTTGGAGAAACGACAACTGAGGGGTGACATGATTGAGGTTTAGAAGATTATGCATGGGATAGAGCAGGTAGAAAAAGAGGTACTTTTCTCCCTTTCTCACAATACAAGAACTCGTGGGCACTCCATGAAATTGCTGAGCGGTCGGGTTAGAACGGATAAAAGGAAGCCCTTCTTCACCCAAAGAGTCATTAACACCTGGGATTCACTGCCACAGGAGGTGGTGGCAGCTACAAGCATGGATGGCTTCAAAAGGGAA